TCTCTCTCTCTCTCTTTCTCGTACATTCCCCCGTCCTCGCTTTATATTATCGTGACTCCAAATTTCGGTCGCATGGCAGCATGCGCCGTGCAATGCCAATACCAAAGAATCGATACCTGTTCCCTTGTCGCGACAATAACGACAACGACAATCGCTGCTCGTGATCGCGGGTCACACGAACGGGAAGACACGCCACTTTGGTACTCGAATAGCAACACACTCTGTACACTAAGCTTCAATAAGATAAGTCTTAATGTTTGTCGGGCCGAAACCTATCATCAGTCCTTCGGATCGTTCCTATCGTGTCTGCAATAGTATGATACGATACGACACGAAAATGTTATGTCAAACTGCTCAAATGACAGATCAGCCGAACAATCAATGATCGTCAATGCAATCGTCCAAACGCACGATATGGACGACTAGAGAAACCGCGCGGAGAGAATGTTATAGTAAAAATTACTAAAGGATTTCCTAACCGAGGAACAGATCGATATGCCGCAGTAACTCACACTCCATTCTTTCATTTCATACGTGCTACTTACATCCTAGAAATTTAAACGTGCTAGAAATTAACATACTTGCTATGTTTCTGCCAAAATCTTATTTTACCGTGTTTTACTCAGCAGAACAGTCCTTACTGACAGTCTGTTCCTGCTACTACTAAAAACACAGTAAAATTGAAAAGATTTTGAATGAAAGATAAGACTATAATATTCTCCTCGGGCAGTCTAGTTTTAGCCTAGTGAATGTTAAAGCTTCATTGAAGCTTCGTGTGCTCTCACCGTGGGAACACGTAGACAGTAGACCTAGCAAAGTTATTAGCTGTTAATATCTACGCATTATCAACGTATCGTTCGTAAATTCAATCGTGCGCGTTGAACCTCTAGCAATTAGCCCCGATGGATACTTTTTAGGAATAATCGGTATCAATTGAATTATTTCCAGCTGGTGCTCTAGCGTGTCGCTGCTCTGATTTTCGCTTTCTTCCCCTCCCCTCTCCCCCCATTCTCACTCCCACTCTGTCGACATTGATATTATTATATTGTACAGTTAATTATTTTTACGAATGTTATTATTATTTTTTTAATTTTTAATATTTGTATTGATATTATTATAATTATGACGACGATAATTATTATTATTATTATTATTATTATTATTTTGTTAAATCTTGTATTTAATAAACGATTGCAGGTAAAATGATTGCGGGATTTACTTTGCGATGAATATTTACTGAGAGGTAACGCCGGCTGCGCACGCGATATCGCTCAACCAATTGTCCAAAAATGGTCGAACGCCGCGCGTTCCACTTCGCGGACATTCCCAATTCATTCGTCCATTTTCGTTCGCTTTGCCCCGTTCGCTCCTTCCCTCGTACCATATCGTTTCGCGAACGCAGCAACGAAGTGATTGACACTTCTTTTCCGAAAATCGGGCTCGCCCGCAAACGCGCGGCTCGTGTCTCGGAATCGCCCGAGATATTGTCGGAGGCCGTTCGGTAAAAATTCCGCGGCGTTTACGCGGCGCGCTTCCTGAACTTTCTGCCGCGGCCGAGAGCTCCTTCGTGAATCCGCCTTGTTCAATTGAATAATCGCACATTAACTGTTACAACGTACGGCATACCAAGTGATCTGGTTATTATGGCCCCTGACCTCGGGCCGCGCGCCGAGCCACACCGGCGGCACGTTGAGCCGCGCCGGTAATCGGCGCGCTCCGCAACGATAATTATACCGCGATTATCCTAAATCGATCGTAACAAGAGGCGCGGAAGTGCCTCCTGCTCCTCGTGCGCGGAACGGCACACGATTTTAATTATTGGGGAGTGTGCGCGCGCAACGACGACGACGACGACGTTTATCAACCTCCGCGCTTAAACGTCGCGATAATCGTCGTTAATTTCTGCGCCCTCGGCACGGCGGAGACGCGCCAGCTCGGCGCGTCTCGCTGAAATTTCAGAGATACTTGCTCGTAACTAATGCTAAACCGCGTTAATGATCGCTCGGATTCCTCTTAACGCAGGCACGGTGAGCGAGCAAGAGACGGTGATGCGATTTACCGCGTCGATTGACTGCGATCGAATTAATGTTAAATGTGTTCTCGTAAAGTTGACACAATTTCATTATCGGAACCGATTATCAGAACAAGCGCGTGCGCGCTGCAAAAGGACAACATTTACAATATTTACTCGATATTTCTTCGCGATTTTTCTGCCTCTCTCTCTCTCTCTCTCTCCCTCTCTCGATTTCTTATCACTTAAAATTGAACGTCTGCTTTAACACCTCAAATTCTGAACTGCCAGGTCTTGATTCTACTTAATCTATAAACTCCTCTCTTAAACCAGCTGAATTCTACTTATGTTTAAATTTCCTAAAGCTCCTCTTCTGAACTTCTAAGTACACTGAGAGAAAAGATATCTAACAAATAAAATATACTTATTCAATAAGTATTCTGATATGAAATATTTTTCAAATAAGAAAATGTACACATTTTTTTAAATCTTAGCTCTTCATGAAAGCAACTGTTTATTTTATTTAAATAAGGAATTCAGGTTTAAGTAAATATATGTCATTAGTACCCATTGAATAAATTTTTATTATTTTTTAGGTATTTTTCTTTCGTGTAGATAATTGGCTGCAGTTATGCAAGAATGATCACGTGGAGTACGTTTCGGGAAAAATGAAAATGAAAATTTTATGCATAATTGGAAAAATATAAAAGCACTGAGGTTCTCTCTCTCTTTCTCTTTCTCTCTCTCTCTCTCTCTCTCTCTCTCTCTCTCTCTCTCTCTCTCTCTCTCTCT